AATAAAAAAGGCAAAGCTTCTAAGCCATTTCTAAAATCAAATATCAACAGTAAATTAATTTATTTCCCAAGTACCCAGGATTGGTATTTCTTTTTAACACGCAATGCAAAATAAGCAAAAAGTGGATAAGGGGGCTGCCAAAATAACTTTGACATTACAGCGTGTTTGCCGACTGAAATAGACATCTTCTTATTTGTACATCGGAGGCACATTCGCGGTACACTTTTATTATTTCTTTTTCTTGGCAATAATCGTATGACAAACACTTTTACTTCTTAAATATGTTTAATATGGAATTTCTGTATAATCCAAGGCCTGTGGTGACCCCATTTTAGCAATTGTGTTTAGGCGAAACTTAAGGCAACTCACGCCACAGCAGTTAGCTAATAAATTCGCAATTTTGGAGGAATCTTTGCTGAATTTAAGGCTATTCATGCCTTATCCCGAACAAAGAGTACGTTTTGAGAATATTTGCTTCAAGGTAACATTATTTTATGCGGGAAACTTAAAAATTTATGTGGGAAACTTAGGAACAATAATCGGTGCAAAACTGTGTCACGGAAGCTTTCGCGTCTGAATATTAGCTAAGTTGATCGTACTCCTGTAGTTCCAAAAGGTTAGTGCCCATAGTTTTTAATTTTTTCCTGTTCTCGGTACACTAGCCCTAGTACTAAATATGGATATTGGTCAGGGCTCCAGATCACGTTATACTTTTGACAAACACTCCTTCAACCAGCTGCATGCCCGCTAAAATTTTGCGAAGGCTCGAAACAGAATGGTTTTTACGGTTTTGGACCGTACTCGGAAATCGTCCCCAGAAATATTGAAAATAGCACTTAAAGCCAAATTATTGCTATTTTTATTTATCATATGGACTAACTGTCTCACACAGAAAATTTGAAGAAATTCTGTTTTCGGCCGAAAATCGAGTGGTCGGTTCTCACACAGACAGCCTCTTAAGTTTCTAAAGAAACTGTGGTGCTGCGTCGGTGGGGAGTATAACAAGATAATTTGGTTTTATCGGCTGGGTTGATAATGTGAATTGGCCACCGTAAAGAGATTCGAAAGCTGACGTTTCGAGCGTTGGCCCTTCGGCGGAGCGAATCGAGGAATTGTGGGTTGTGTGTGGCTTATATCCAGAAAGATGGAGCTACGCTATTGGTTGGTGCATGGTAACGTGAAAAACAACTGAATAAATAAGTTGAACGAAAAGCGTTCGTTCATTCCGTGAGGATTAAGAGTGCCGACTTGAAAAATAAATTTTTGTTCTAGAGTTTTGCGGCTTTCCGTGCTTCCTTGATACAGGGAAACGCCGCAAACTGCCATATGTTGCTTAGAATTATTGGGGAGATTTAAGTGTCTCGCGACCGGTTTAGATGCGTTTTTGTCGTCTCTCTCTGCGTCACCATAGTTAGTAGGAATCGGTCGCCTTGTCGTCTCCCTGTTTCGCCGATGTATAACTTTTTGCAAAGAGTGCAAGTTATGCAGTAGATGACATTGGTTGAAGTACAGGTGAAATGATCAGTGATGATGATGGATCACTTGGGTCCCGAAATTTTCTCAACTAGGAGAAATGTTGTTAGACCTGAGATGTTGGACTTCGTTTTAAGGTATCATGGTAGGTGGATTTTTCCGAAAAATGCGAAAAATCTTTTTTTGGATGTTCAAATTGAGAAGACTGAGATAAATATTTTGCAAAAAGAATGGGGGAAAGGGCTTTTTTATTTTTTAAGTTAAAGCAAAGAAACTATTTTTGAATATTATAAAGCCCTTACAGCGCGTTGACACCTCTAATTAAAATTCACCGCCAGTTGTCACAAGTAACGCGAATTGCGGTGTGATATTTCATTTGTGCACGCGAACTTTTCTTGATCTGGTTGTTTCATTGCAAGCTGGCTTTCGTTCTGGGTATTTCTTTTAATATCACTGCGACAATAACTTTTTAGAAAATTTCAAAGATATGATTGTATTCTATAACTATTAAGCTTTCAGAAAATGTATAGTTTGATGGGGTTTTCTTTCAAAACGCCAGCGTAAGATCGCGATTTCCAAACACTGTCAATCCACCTACCATGATACCTTAAATGGCGGCCATGTTAGAGTGACATGGCCGATGTTTGACATCATTCTCTTTTTCTCCCGTTGAAGAGATAAGATTCTACCATCGTGAAAGGTTTATATTGTGATATCCACAAAAAAACTACCAAGCTCGGACATAAAAAGTCATCAGACCGAAAACGTTACACTTCGCATCAAGATGGCGGCCATATTAGACTTACACGGCTGTTGTTTGACATCATTCTCTTTTTAACCTCTAAAAGAGATGGGATTCTAATATCGAGAGAAAGTTCGAGGCGAGAGTAGACTGTCTTGATGTAAAGACAAAAACTAGCAAGGTACTAGGAAAACCGTTATTAGACCTGAGATGCTTGACTTCGTTTTAAAATAGCCACCATATAACAGTGACATGGCCGATGTTTGACATCATTCTCTTTTTCACCCGTTGCGATGTCAGTGTATAGGTACAAATTTAATCGTGGAAAAGACTATAGGGTGAGAATATCTGAGCCAGAAATGGTTTTCAAGTTTAAAGATCCTTGAGAGCCAGAAGTCCCTGATGAGCCGCTAAAATAGTGAGATTTGAAAGACCATGAAACCATTTGAAGGTTAACATTGACCTGCCTTTTTTTGACGGTTTACGGCAAAAATTGCCCTTTTTGGCGGTTTACGGTTGAATTTTAGGCTGTTTGGCGGCTGACGGTTAAACCCATTGAGACCCTCTATGATATATTTAGATGTACCATTTTGTTTGCCCCCTATCTTGCAGGTTCTCGCACGGGAACTCCCTCGGGAGTGGGGGACTCCCATGAAAGGACGGGAATTGCTCGTCGTACCTATTAGAGGTTAAAAAGCCGGTTTTTGTACCTCGGTTGTTCAGCCTCAAAAGGTCCACAGCGGGAGCTTTTTCGGTTCCTTTTAGGGTATTGAGCCGAAAAAAATATGACAGGAGATAATGTAGCCTGCGTAGCTTGTTTCGCGGCTTGTTATCTCGGCTTCGCAGCTTTCTTAGCGCGCTCAAATTGCTTAAAAACCGCCAAGCTGCGCAGGCTAGAGATGATGTGTTGTTTAAGAATATGGGTACCTTTTAGGGGTGAAAAAAATTTCAAGCCACGCACCGGGGTAAACTAGTTCATTGTTATTGTCTATATCATGCCACGCATTAGATTATAACACTAAATATTAGCGGAGCCCCATACGTGACAGGAAAGAAAAAGAAACCCATGAGTTGATTTTCTCATGGTTATAATGGCTAGCCGTATTGCCCGTGGGCTCGTACGTACGACGGCGACAGCGACGGCGACGACGGAGTCGCGCAACATGGAAGCCATACTCCAAATAATACGTTGACAGAGACATGCAGCCTTGGTTTACCGTGTACTTGTTTGATATTGGACATCCATTTTATGATCAGCTTTTCACGCTTTCACTTTTCACGCTTTTCACTTTTCACGCTTCTCTTCTACTTTTCAGAAGAAAAGGTACTGTTATTGACGCGCATTCATTTTGGTTTCATTTTGATCGACACACCAAAACCAGAGAGTATATCATGATGTGTAAATCAATATTTTAAAAGCTTTGCCCATAGTACTAGACTGAAATCACTAACAGTCGATCTACTTTTTGAACTCAAAGATAGAACCTGGGAGAATTTGTAACCGTAATCACTAACTACTTTTAACTCTGATGCCATGTAGTTAAAAACAAATGAAAACTAGTTGTAGTTAACGACGCTGGTGTTACTAAAACCAATAGCTGGGCGCGCGATAGGGAAGCCGTGTCTCATCTATGAAAATCTCTACTCAGAGCTACACTGTGTTAAAACACTTTACATGCCGCAGTCAGAAATTCGTAGGTAACAATTTCTACAAAGATTATGATTAAGTCAAAACCAGTTGTAGTTAACGACGCTATTATGACTAAAACCAAAAGATAGCCACGCGATTGCGAAGCCGTTTTAAAACCTCTTGCTCATGTGTCTCACCAGGGCTTCCAAGGTAGATGTTCAGTCAATTAGTAGGTCTGACTTGCTGTTTTTTTATCCCGCATCCAGCATCCCACCTCTCAATATCAAATTTATCTCGCATTTCCTAGTTGAAATGAGCACATTCTGCACAGCCTAAGATATTTTTATCCCGTATCCCGTATTCTCGCATACCGCCAAGCTTATGTTTTGACACCCCAGAATCTTCAAAATACATCTTCCATGCTTGACGCATTATGATAATCGGTGTCTCCTTAAAATATCTAAAACCCCTCAAGCGGTTTTCGTAGTTTCACTTTTCAAAGCAAATAATTTCCGAAATTCAGATGATTTTAAAGTTATGAAAAATTGCAAGCTCCATAGTTTGCTTTTACATCGCAAAGTTTTTGGCTCTGTCAGATCTTGTGTACGTTAGCATGGGAAAACGTGAATTTGAAATCGACCAAATCGCACAAAGTTGCGATGGACTAGCATCCCATCCAGGGGGGAGTAGAAATACTCCTAGTCGCTTCATGCTACAGAAACCGGGATAAGCTCCGGCTGATGGGCCACTTGGCTCGCATGCAGACTCATAAAGTGAAAACTAACGAAAAGTCAATCCACGGCCTTCCACATTTTACAACAGAACGATGGCAAAAGTAGCTTTCTTTAGTTGTCTTATTTCTCTTCAGAGTAATTCAGTCTGTCTATGACAGGAAGGATTGGAATGTAAATTCTATTATCTCAGCCGACAGTGAATTTCATAGTAGACTGGAGTGGCTTTTAATATTAACCCAAGACACTTCGAAAGAGCTAACAAAGATGCCAAGATTTATGTTGGAAGGTCCAGGACTGTGATTAATCTTTCGTTTTGCGATCATACACAGTGCGTTAATTGCATAACCGAAACTGTTGGTTAATCTTTGAGAAACATAAAACACAATACGTTAACAGCTATTGTGTTTTATGCATGGTTAAGCCAGAGAACGAAAAACAGACAAAGAACTTTGTCTTGCTTGATAACTGACCTTACTGATTACAAGCTATGGTCACCCAAATATGCTTTGAAAGCTATTGGACTTCAAGCCGTCAGTATTTAATAGAGACTGGAAATAGAAAAAAATGTAGTTTACTTCCCAATGTTTTTATTTGATTGTCTTTTGAAACATATATTACTTTCAATTTGTTTTGACTTAATATTGCACCTCGAGCTCCTATTGTCTCACTTTTAGTTTCATTTTCGTCAGAACACGGCAAGTTTTAAACTGTCACCTGTTTTTGACTGATAGCGTTGGGTGCACATATAACAAGTATAGCCGATGCTAAATACTTTAAATTTACACCGGGAAAAGGTTTGCATGAATCACGTGACTTATTTTCTTTTTGTTGTAAGAGCTATTATTGAGTCACGCGAATAATTGTTTGGAAGCATCTTTTGCGCAGTAGTAATTCAGTTTCATCAGAAGACCGAGAAACTGAACACAATAAGTTAATAAACTGTAAGCTGTCTGTGCACGATCGATAACGTCGGGTGCACATATAACAAGTATAGCCGATTTTTTAATGCTTTAAATTTACACTGGGAGAGGTTTGCATGAATCGCGTGACTGATTTTCTTCTTTTTGTAAGAGTCATGCGAAAAATTAAGTCACGCGAATAATTGTTTGCGCAGTAGTAATTCGCTTAACTTTTCCTTCTCTTCTGCTTTTCAGAGGAAACGGTCCTGTTATTGACGCGTATTCAATTTGGTCTCATTCTGGTCGACTCACCAAAACCAGTGAGTATAAATCAATATTCTAAGTGCTTTATTCATAGTAGACTGAAATCATTAACTCAATAAACTTTTTGAACGCAAAGAAAGAACCCCGGGAGAATTTGTAACGGTAACGTACGCCTACCACAAACATGTATTTATGGACTGATTTGAGTCAGTGGCAGTTAATATATGACTCTGGTGTGACCGAAACGCGATTGGCAAGCTGTTTTGAAAACCCCTGCTCTTTAACTCATCAGTGCGTACAAACATTACCGAAAGCTAAATTAATTTCTCTAGTCCCTGAGTAACCGTGGTTTGCTTTTTTTTCATCCCGCACGCCGCCCCTCAGTATCAAATCTATCCCGCATTTCTTGGTTGAAATAAGCGCATGCTGCTCCCGCCAAGCCGTGTTTTAATCCTGTATCCCGCATTCAATATCGCACTATAACTAAACTTTCAGCTTATCTCGCATTCCCTCAAGCTTACTTTTTGACACTCCATAAATTTCGAAACATCCATGCATGACGTATTATGATAATCAGTATTTCGTCGAAAGGTTGAGAACGGCCCCTGAAGCGATTTTCGTAGTTTCACTTTCCAAAGCAAGTTCCGCCGTGNAATCAATATTCTAATTGCTTTGTTATTCATGGTAGACTCCAATCATTAAGTCAATAAACTTTTTGAACGCAAAGAAAGAACCCGGGAGAATTTGTAACAGTAACGCCTACCACAAACATGTAGTTACGGACTAATTTGAGTCAGTTGTAGTTAATATATGACGCCGGTGTGATCGAAACGCGATTGGCAAGCTGTTTTAAAAACCCCCACTCTTTAACTCATCAGTGTTTACAAACATTACCGAAAGCTAAATTAATTTCTCCAGTCACTGCGTAACCGTGGTTTGCTTTTTTTGATCCCGCACGCCGCCACTCAGTATCAAATCTATCCCGCATTTCTTGGTTGAAATAAGCGCATGCTGCTCCCGCGTTCAATATCGCACCTATAACTGAACTTTCAGCTTATCTCGCATTCCCTCAAGCTTACTTTTTGACACTCCGTAAATTTCGAAACTTCCATGCATGACGTATTATGATAATCAGTATTCCGTCGAAAGGTTGAGAACGGCCCCTGAAGCGATTTTCGTAGTTTCACTTTCCAAAGCAAGTTCCGCCGTGGTAAGTACAGCTCAAGCTAACTTTGCATCGTCTGGGTTTTATCTTCACGAGGTGGAATAATATAGAGCTTGATTATGATGGCCAGGATATTCAGACCATCATTATGTGACGGTTAATTGCAAGCTCAGTCCGCCGTTTGCTAGATAACAACAAAGTTTTTGGCTCTGTCGGTTCTGATGTCTGTTACCACGGGAAAACAAGAGTTTAAAATGGACTAAATCGCACAAAGTAAATTATAAAGTAAAAACGTAGGAAAAGTCAACTATAACGGCCTTCCAAATTTTATTACCGAACGATGGAGAAAGTAGCTTTCATTGGTTGCCTTATTTCTTTTTAGAGCAAGTCAATCTGTCTATGACAGGAACCAGCGTGGAATGCAAATTTTATTAATCAGCAGACAGAGAGTTAATAGTAAACAGGAATGATGTTTAAGCCCAAGAAGCTTCAAAAGAGCAAACAAAGATGCTAAGATTTATGTTGGAAGGTCCAGGACTGTGGGCAATCTTTCGCCGTTTTTCGATCATACACAGTGCGTTAATTACATAAGCATAACATTTCTGTTGGTTAATCTACATGAATAATTGTTTGGAAGCATCGTTTGCGCAGTAATAATCTGCTTAACGTTTCGTTCTCTTCTACTTTTCAGAGGAAAAGGTCCTGTTATTGACGCGTATTCATTTTGGTTTCATTCTGGTCGACTGACCAAAAACCAGTGAGTATATATCAATATTCTACTGGCTTTGTTATTTTCATTAAGTAAACTGTTCACTGTCGATCTACAATTTGTTTCATAGACAAATGTAAATTATATTAATCAGCCGACACAGAGTTTAATAAAAAAACTGGAGTGGTTACTGAGCCCTAGAGGTTTTAAAAGAGCAAACAAAGATGCTAAGATTTGTGTGGAAAGGTCCAGGATTGTGACAAATCTTTCAACAGTGTATTAATTAAATACCCGAAATGTTTCTGGTGGTTAACTTATAAGACAGAACTGAGTTAACACCTATTGTGTTTTATGCATGGGTAAGGCAAAGAGCGAATAACAACATACAACAATTGAAAGAACTTTGTCTGGCTAGAAATCCATTGTACTTAATATTAGCTATGTTAAAAAAATCCCAATATGCTCTGAAAGCTATTGGTCTTTACCATCAGTATTCAACAAAGTATGTGGATAGAAAAATGTAACTTTCTTTCGAATGTTTTTATTCGATTGTTTTGCTCAACGTTTGAAACTTATTTTAATTTTAATTTGTTTTGACTTCTTATTGGACTTTCTATTGTCTTGCAGGGAAACTCCCTCAGTGCTGTTTCAGTTTCTATCACTTTGTGTTCCGCTTTTAGGAGAAGACTTACAAACTGAACACAGTAAGTTTATAAACTGTAAGCTGTTTGTGACTGGTAGCGTGCACAAACACAAGATCTAGAGTTTACACTGGAAGTGACGTCACGAATCGCGTGACTGATTTTCTACCTGCTGTAAGCGCCAAAAGTGAGTCACGCGAAAAACTTAATCACACAAATGATTGTTTGGAATCACCGTTTTTCAGTAGTAACAATTTGTTCAACTTTCCCTCTTTGCTTACTTTTCAGGGGAAGAGGTCCTGTTATTGACGCGTATTGGTTTTGGTTTCACTCTGGTGACTCACCAAAGCTAGTGAGTATAAATGATGATTTTAGCCTAGTTATAATATATTCATAGCAGACTGAAATAGTGATGTAAACTGTTCACAGTCAATTTCATTTTTCAATGNTTGAAAGAACTTTGTCTAGCTAGAAATCCATTGCACTTAATATTAGCTATGTTAAAAAAACCCAATATGCTCTGAAAGCTATTGGTCTTTACCATCAGTATTCAACAAAGTATGTGGATGAAGAAATGTAAATTACTTTCGAATGTTTTTATTGGATTGTTTTGCTCAGCATTTGAAACTTATTTCAGTTTTAATTCGTTTTGACTCCTTATTGAACGTCCTATTGTCTTGCAGGGAAACTCCCTCAGTGTTGTTTCAGTTTCTATCACTTTGTGTTCCGCTTTTAGGAGAAGACTGGCAAACTGAACACAGTAAGTTTATAAACTGTAAGCTATTTGTGACTAGTAGCGTACACATACACAAGATCTAGAGTTTCCACTGGAAGAGACATCACGAACCGCGTGACTGATTTTCTGCCTACTGTGAGGGCCAAAAGTGAGTCACGCGAAAAATTAAGTCACACAAATGATTGTTTGGAATCACCGTTTTTCAGTAGCAACAATTTGCTAAACTTTCCCTGTTTGTTTACTTTTCAGGGGAAAAGGTCCTGTTATTTGACGCGTATTGGTTTTGGTTTCACTCTAGTGACTCACCAAAGCTAGTAAGTATAAATAATGCTTTTGACGTAGTTATAACATATTCATAGCAGACTGAAATAGTGATGTAAACTGTTCACAGTCAATTTCATTTTTCAATGCAAAGTCAGAACCTGAGAGAATTATTGACCGCAGTGTCGAAGCTAATCACTAACTACTTTTAACTCTGAGTCATGTATTTAAAGACTAATCAAATCCAGTTATAAGTAGCGACGTTGGTGTGACCGAAACACGATTGGCAGTCTGTTTAAGAAACTCTTCCTTTTTAACTCATTGGTGTTTCTGAGCACCCACAAAAGGTAAATTAATTCCTCCAGTCACTTTGTAACCGTAATTTTTTTTGATCCCGCATCCCGTCCATCAATTTCAAATTTATCCCGCATTTCCTGGTTGAACTCAACACATCCCGCCAGGATCTTCAGCTTATCTCGCATCCTGTCAAGCTTACGTTTTGACACTCCAGAAACTTCAAAATACATCTTCCATGCTTGGCGTACTATGATAATCAGTGTTTTCTCGAAATTTCTAGAACGCC